ACATACACACTTGCATGTAGCATACAAAGGGAACAAGACTCACCTATTGTTTTATACTGATGTATGCATATTGATGAACAGTGATACACTGTGTGCATTTAGCTGTCATGACAGTTGGACAGTGACCAACCTAAGCTTTACAGTGTAAACGGTCTGAATGTAGTTTTCCCCTGTGTGTCTTGAGCTGATATGTTTCTTGATACTTTACTTCCATGGTAACTGAATTCCAGTACCTGAGAAAAGGAACATTTGAAGAGGAGGCAATCCTCTGGAGACGCTTCCTAGACAACAAGGTCCTGCTGTCTTGTGGTAAAGGTTTTGAATGCAGCGAGGCTGGCTGGTTCCGCATCATCTTTGCTGACAAGATGCATCGGTTGCAACTAGGTCAGTATTATTCTCCTCTACTCTTCCTTCCCAGGACCAAACAACCCAATCATAGCCCACCAGCCAGGTATGATGGCTTATGAGGTGAGAACGTTGGTCCATTCAGTGCAGTGTAATCGATAGTAACTGGCTGCAGTTCTCTATGGTGACCATTCTCAACCTTTTTTTGGCCACAATCCTTTTTGGAGTTCTTCTCAGGTTCCAGGGCCCGCTATCAAACAAGGTGACATATTTAGGATAGTACCTTAAGAGCATCATCTTTTAAGATTTTAAATAGTTCGACTGGAATGCCATCACCTCCACTGGCCTTGTTGTTAGCCATGCTTTCTAAGGCCCACTTGACTTTGCTCTCCAGGATGTCTGGCTCAAGGTCAGCAGTCACACAAATTACACAAAGAGATATATTTCAAAAGCTTCTCACATTTTTTCAATGTGTAGTCCCCTTTGAATGTGCCAAGGTGTCCCTTGGGGCCATGTGGCCCCTGTTGAGAATGGCTGTTCCAGAGGATTATTCTTTGGAGATGTCAGAAATGAAACCCGAGACCTCCTGCATTCAAAGGAATGGATATACGACCACTATGATGTGGTCCTTCCTTTGAGAGTTTCCCTGTTGGGAGTCATGGCTCATGGGATATACTGTATCTAGCTTGGCAGATCAAAAGTTGTGTAAAACAGTCCTTCCTTGACCATCTTAACCAGCGTTGCTTTTTCTTGCCTCCTGATTGAGAAGGCAGGTGAAATTAAGAGGGCTTAAATGTAATTAAACCCAGAGAAGTTTACCTTTTCAATAAAGCATAGGACTGGATAGAAAAATCCTAGAACAATTAATCTGTGGACATTCCTTGGAAAACGTGATGTCTGATGGCAAATTCAAATGCTGAAAAGTACCACTTCCTTTTTTGGGAGACTTGCTTCAGAGAACAGGACTGTCAGAAGTTGCTCTTTTCACCCCATTCTGAATATTCCCTGAAATGGAAATGGCTGTCAGTTCAACATATTGCAACTGATTGGATAATAATTAATGCCCCACTCTTACATGGGAAAGATGTTTGGTGGGATTTTGTCATAATCTGTATCAGGATTAGCTTCTAAAGTAGAAAGCTTAGATATCATAATTGCAGGTGTCCTGAAATCAAGGCAGATTACAGATATTTTGGATCAGGAAGAGTTTGTATTTTGGTCACTTTGCTTTGACAAGCTGCAGATAAGACCAACCAAAATGATCCTGTGATGGAAGGTGAAAAAAAGCATTTGAAGAAATAACTTCCACACAATTTCAAAGTAGCATTGAGGTCTTCCCCCACTTGCATTCTTTGAAAGTGTTGAGACCACCTCACGGATTTCATTTGGCATCACATTTTTGTTCAATTTACAGGATATGTCTTCTGCTTTTTGCCAATGGCTTACAATTAAAACAAAAACCCTCATCAAATAATAATAAATAGGAAAAGTAGATTTTATTTATTTATTTATTGGACTTATATACCGCCCCATAGCGCGAACCAAGCTCAAAGTGAAGTCAACACAAGAGGCAATGAAATGGATCTTCTGTACTGTTAAATGTGTAGAAGAAATAGTAGAAAACGATATTTGGAGAGGCAGTTCCATAACTTTATGGAAAGAGCACTGAAAAGATCCATTCTCCAATAGATATCTGTGAAGATTCTCAGTTGTCTAGGTGAGATTATTCGGAAGTTGGGTCATGGCAACTGGACTTCTTTCTTAGAAACATTTTGCTACTCATCCAACTGAAGAAGCTACAGTACTTGGATGAGTAGCAAAACGTTTCAGCCTAACAAGAAAGAAGTCCAGTTACCATGACTCAACTTCCAGTTCTCCAGTAGATGTATGCCCAGCTGCTAAGGGTCAGGGCATGCAGGGGGGCACTGCAGGTTCTCTACAACACGATGATGGGTAGAGTTGTTCCCACTTGGTAGTTTGATCATTTTTGCTCTTCATCCCAATACAGTTTTTCTTCTCCCCACCCTTTCCCTTAGGCATGCAGAGGGTCCGCGAGGTGCTGGAAGAATGTGAACATGAAATTCAAAATGAAGAGAAAGACCCGTCTTGCCAATCTGACTCAGAAGGCAAAGCAGATAGCACAGATGAAGTGATCTTTGTATCTCATCACCAAGAGCCGACCTCAGCCAGCAGCTCCAACCTTGGCGATCTTATTCGCCTCCTGCAGCAGCAGATGCGCTCCTCTGACTGGCTTCAGAAAAATACAGTGGAACAGTTTGCACAGGAGAAACCAGAGGTCTATGATGTTTTCTGCAAGTTAGTGGGGAAACAGTAGAGAGCTCTGGTGCCTGTGTGCAGGGATATGTCACTAGAGTTTCTTACTGCTGTGTTTTGACTTATGTAACATTACCTTTTCAATACAGCAGGAAACCATATTATAAAACTCTTTTTTGGGCCCCTCTACTTGTCGCTATATTGAACTCAAGGCATCTATGAGAGGTGGCTTTTCTTCTGTCTCCCACCTTCCATATTATATTTAATACTTTTTTTTCCTACCGACCAAGCTCATGCTCACTTCTGTGGATAAAAACAGTGTCATAATTTGTGCTGGTCTGTTTTCATTATTTGCCAGGAAACAGATACTTACTGATGAATAAGTTTTTAAAAATATGCTTTATGGCCTAAAACAAAATTGAAGGACAAGAGACCTAAGATGTGCATTTCATTCATAAGTCCATTTAATACAGAATTTGTTAAATATATACCAGCTCAGATACTCTAATACGGGTAAATAACAAGTATTTGTAAATTTCTCCTCTAAACCAGTACGAATAATTTCCAGTATTTTGAAGACTAGCACAGGGTTGATATTTTCTACTTCTTATCTTTCAGTGAAGTAGGCAGTGAAGATACACGTTTCTTCCAATTTTTTCCCTCTCAAACTTGGATTGTCTTCTCTCCACTCCATTTCAACAGGTTTTCCTTGTTATCCCTGCAGAGTTTGGAAGTAACTAGTTACAAGTAATGACAGTATCTGTAATAACTGACTTTGGGAAGCAATTAGAGCATAACAAAGTTCCTTTTACTGGGAAATGGTATGCCTGGGAGGAATTATAAAATGTTGGGATAATGAGACCAGTTGTTTATTATTGCTAGACGTTACTTGGGTGAGACTTTAGAGACTGTTTTTTGTTTTATTTTGTTTTTTTAAAGCAGGGTATCATTGGAAACTTCCTTCCCTCCCCTGCAACTAAATTTGGCAGCAGTGGTGATTCTACTTTGCTGGATGATATATATATTTTTTTGTAGATCTTTGATGATGTCAGGAGCAGGGGAAAAGGCCTCAATTAAGATTGATGCCCATGATTGTTGGAGAACTGGAAGAAAAAAGTGAAGTAACATTTTACTTAAATTACATTAAGTGAAATGTAAAAGAAAAGAAAAGAAAATCTTACCATGGATCATAATTAAATTGCAGAGGAAAATACTATTCCTATTTTATCATGATGCTTATTTCAGAAGTTTGTGAAAATAGACTCTTTTTCTGTTAATTTATGTGTAGATTTTGCTGTCTCTTTGGAAACATGTCACTATTTCTGACACAAATGTTGACCAGATTTTCCTTAACCAATCAGATAATCAGGAAGATTTTCAGTACAGTAAGTGAATTTTTTCTATCATCAGTGAAATTGCCATTAGTTGGATTTGTTCCAGTTCAATTTATTTATATATCTTAGTAGAATTATTTTGGGATGTGGAATGATGATGACATCCTGACATTTCAAAGATTATTTCTAACGCTGCTTTCTATAATTGCTTAATATTTGGGTAATAGCCAAAAAAGTTAAAAAAAGAGTAGTCTGTATGTGAAATTTGCCATCTGCAGCCTTAATCTAGCACATTAGATTATATTGATTTTTAGTCTTTTTAGTGTATAGTACCAATTGTAAAATGTATTGAACCACATTCTTTTAAATTTTGCCCTAATTACATTACTCAAAACATTAGTAAATATCCGAGTCTTCTCCTTTATTTGTTGATTCAAACCCCTCTTCCACTTTGTTTTTAAATTTAAAAAAATGAGCTGTTCTAATAATAAACCATCTTTTTTTGTCATCAGTTGTAAAATTGAGTCATTTGTGATCCATATCTCAATTTTTCCCCTTCATATACATATGTTTATTTATTGACAAATCTGAAACTACAGAAAGAGAAGAAAAATTATCTATTTGGATATTATCAAATAAGTTGTAATTATCCTTAAGCTATAAGTTGCATTTTACCACTCAAAGCAGAAATAGAGATAGTACGTGTTATGGTTTGAACTCCAAAAATCGCTCAGTCACTTGGCAGTAGAGGATATCTATAGGTGAAAATGACCTCTGTGATTTTAAAGTAGAAAAGGTGACAAATGGCTTGTTTATGGGATTTTAAATGTTTACAAGTGACATTGAATGAAGGATATAAATCTTTGCTTGCCTCTTTAAGGGCAGCACAGATGCGCTGTAACTCTCTCTCTCTTTAATTGAAAACCTCCATCAGAGCAGCGGTGGATTCAGCTGTAGTGTGTGTGTGTGTTTAGTCGTTTAGTCATGTCCGACTCTTCGTGACCCCATGGACCAGAGCATGCCAGGCCCTCCTGTCTTCTACTGCCTCCCGGAGTTGTGTCAGGTTCATGTTGGTTGCTTCGCAGACACTGTCCAGCCATCTCATCCTCGGTCGTCCCCTTCTCCTCTTGCTATCACACCTTCCTAACATCAAGGTTTTTTCCAAGGAGTCTTTTCTTCTCATGAGATGGCCAAAGTACTGGAGCCTCAGCTTCAGGATCTGTCCTTCAAGTGAGCACTCAGGGTTGATTTCCTTTAGAACTGATAGGTTTGTTCTCCTTGCAGTCCAGGGGACTCTCAAGAGCCTCCTCCAGCACCACAATTCAAAGGCATCAATTCTGTGGCGGTCTGCTTTTTTTATGGTCCAGCTCTCACTTCCATACATCACTACAGGAAAAACCATAGCTTTGACTATTTGGACTTTCGTTGGCAAAGTGATGTCTCTGCTTTTTAAGATGCTGTCAAGGTTTGTCATCGCTTTCCTCCCAAGAAGCAGGCATCTTTTAATTTCGTGGCTGCTGTCTCCATCTGCAGTGATCATGGAGCCCAGGAAGATAAAATTTGACACTGCCTCCACATCTTCCCCTTCTGTTTCCCAGGAGGTGATGGGACCAGTGGCCATGATCTTAGTTTTTTTGATGTTGAGTTTCAGACCGTTTTTTGCACTCTCCTCTTTCACACTCATTACAAGGTTCTTTAATTCCTCCTCACTTTCTGCCATCAGAGTGGTATCATCTGCATATCAGCTGTAGACAGGTTCTCAATCTGACCTTTAAGACAAGTTGCAAAAACAAACAAACAAAAACTCTCAGTGCCCCCTCTTATCTTCTGTGAGGAAGTTTTATATTTTAATTTTTTAAATAAGTAATGAAGCACATCTTCACTGCCCTAATAAAGTGTACCAAAAACACATACTTCCTCTGCTTCTCCACAGAGCTAAGGAAGTGTTTAATTTGGCAATATTCTAGAGTGGCTATCTTCTTAAACCATGTCACATTATGACAAATTAACTGTGGAAGGAGCCTTGACAGCCCAGAGCTCAATTTGGTTCATTTCCAGCGATCACACGCACTGGAAACAAATGAAAACTGAACAATCCTACAGATACACACACACACACACAAAATACATTGGTGCCCCGCTATACGCTTACCCCGGTAAATGACAAAATCGCTTGATGATGATTTTTTAACGATCGTTATTGCAATCGCAAAACAATGGTTCCTATGGGGGAAATCCGCTTTACGTCAATTAGGTCCTTGTTTTGCGAAAGTTTGTTCGCAAAATGATGTTTTTCCGGCTCCGCAAAATGGCTTCCCTTTGCAAAATGGCTTCCCTCCCTTTGCAAAATGGCTGTTTTCCGGACAGAAGCTTCGGAAGACAGCGATTTTAAACAGCTGATCAGCGGTTCTCTGTGGGCGATCTTCGCTGGACGATGAGGTACTGTATTTTTAGCACCATAAGACTCACTTTTTTCCCACAAAACAGGGGTGTGGAAAGTCTGTGCGTCTTATGGAGCGAAGAAAACAGATTATATTTTCCTCTTTTCTTCTCCTAAAAAATTGGTGCGTCTTATGGAAAGGTGCGTCTTATGGAGCGAAAAATACGGTATTTCCCCATTGGATCACATTAACCGGTTTTCAATGCATTCCAATGGGTGTTTTTTTTGCATGACGACGATTTCACTGTACAGTGATTTTAATGGAACGGATTATCATCGTCATGCGGGGCACCACTGTAGAAGACCCTGAACAGGGGTCCAGATAAGCTTGGGCAAAATTACAGGCTGGTTCACTCGAGCAGTTATACTGTGTATATACTGCCTCAAAGTGGTTAGAGCACACTCCGGGTGGCTTGCAACAGAAATATGCAAGGAACACTTTGTCCCCCAACAAGCTAAATTTGAATTTCGTTGTATGTGTATATACTTACAATGACAATAAATTATTATTATTAAGCTGGGCACTCATGTTACGGTTCTCAGAATACAGGTTTTGCTTCCTAATACATCAATTGCATGTTGGTATTAATAAAGCAGTGTTAACCAATATTAATCTCAATCTACATGGAGCCAATTGTAAGAGGAATGTTTTATGGATACCACAAACCTCCAGAAAGACAAACAAGTGGGTTCTAGATCAGATGGAGCCTTAACCCTCACTAGAAAGTTACAGTGACAACCCATATGAGGGTACTCATTTTGCGAACCTCAGAAGGATGGAAGGCTGAGGCAATCTTGAGCCAGCTGCCTGAATCTCAGGATCAAACTCAGGTCACGAGCAGGGGCTTGATTGCAGTACTGCAGTTTAGTCACTGCATCATAGGGCTCACTGTAACCATGTTGCCAGAAAAAGGAATGAACTAACCTGTCCTTGTGGCAAACTAGACAGTGAAATGCCTGTCTGATCTCACCCTCAGTTTAAAAAGGTCCACCTACATATATACCCCCTTCACGGATTGCTGCCTTGTTGTGGCGAAGGGGCTTGAGTAACTCAGAGAAGCTATGGGCTATGCCATGCAGGGACACCCAAGGCAGGCAGGTCATAGTGGAGAGTTCTAACTAAACGCAATCCACTTGCTCTGGTCCATGGGGTCACAAAGAGTCGGACATGACTAAACAACGACATATATATATATATATACACATATATTTGCAAGAAGTCTTGGGGGGTTGTGGGAGCAGGAACAGCTCTCCAGGGACCAAGGACAGGTACGTGTAGCCTGTGGACCTCTTCAGGTTGCCTATATCTGCCCTAGGGCCTTGGCAATCCTGTTTTTACCATGACAGCCCAGAGATTGTATTTGGTTTGATGAGTCAGAAGTCTGAATAAAGAGTAGATACAAAAGATGTATTGGTACAAAAGAACACAAACTGGCATTTTACCAAATCATATGGTTCAGATATTTCAGCCCTTTTTTTGTTCAGAAGAGTTTACTTTTTGTCCTCAGCTTGCTAGGAACATTTATTCATAGCAAAGGACACGGGCAATAGCAAGCATAACAAAAATATACTGGATAAACACTGGAAGCAAATGCTATTTTTAGTTGCTCTGTGTATTCCCTGCTGTTCTCCACCAGATTCTGAATGTGCACGAGTACATGCACAAGGGCTTAGCTATTCTAGGCAATTTCTCCTTGTGACCCTTTCGCATCTGAACAAACACTCAAATGCAGAAAACGTGCAATCGACTAAAGCTGCATATTCTGGCAAACCATGACAACAGCTTTTCATTAATATTTTTAAGATTGCAGTCTCAATGACAGGAAGAGCTAAAGATAGTTGGTCTGCCACTTTTAAATCTAGAGTACCACTTGAGGTAATCAACCTAAATCATACTAATTCAACTCATCCTCTCTAAATTGGGAATCATTTGAGCTAAACAGAGAGAACAGAATCTCGTATATATCACATCTTTATGCATAGCATGGACTAGGCCATTGCTGATACCACAACACAGCTTTTCCCTAGTTGGTGGCCTTTGAATTTGTTGCTATGCAGGCCAAATTATATATGTATGAGATAATCTGATTTCTTAGACACAAATGCCATTGTGTCTAAGAAATCAGTGCTGGTGGTGGTCTGGAGCTGTGTTTCCATTGCAAAACAAGAATCAAACAACATAGCAAGCTAATTTGCAAGATACGGGAAGTGAAAAGAGCTACTGTGCCAACCTTAACTCCTTCTGCATTAATTGTTCCTAATGCAAGCTTATACAGTATGTGCCGTTCAGTTCAACCCTATAACAGACAAGTGAGCCAACCAGCCACTGTTCATATTGGCTAGGAATATTTAGATGTAATGCCCTTTTGGGAGGGATTATAGCAACGCTATTGTGGGGTTAAGTCTCAGGATGGCCACCACCAGGCTTTCCTAGATGTGAAGTCCTCAGAAGTGGTATATTAGGCCCTTTTCCCTTGGGGGGGGGCACTCTGGAATGCTGCAGCTTGCCCAAGGTTACATGTGGCTGGTTGTTCTCCTGGGAGACTCAGCTGGGAATCAACTTCCCAACCGTTGGTACTCCAACTCACTAAGCTATCAGTTCATCTTAAAGGGACTGTACCATATGAAAAATGACACATTTATATTGGTTCCTATTTGATCATGACACTCGTGAAAGTGCCATTTATCTTTTCCTTGCGGGCAGCATAACTTGAGGCTATTGTATTACGAGGTGCAGTATCAGATAGATTTCTGGTTAGATATAGGGTAGATTTCTGTAGTAGTTTGAGCCCTGACTAAACAGCCCTGCAACAGAACAGTCAACAAGGTGATAACTCTGCCATCTGTCTTACTGCACACTATGCTGTCATCACCAATCCAGCACCACTAAAGATAACCAGCTCAGGAATCCCAGCTAAGCCCTGTGGCTGTTTTGTCTTCCCCTGCAGCTCTTGCTCTATATGATAATCAATATGGAACAGATGTGAGTGGGTAGTCTGTTGCATGCAGAATATGAATGGGAAGCAG